TTTTTTTTTAAAAAAAATTAAAAACCTGGTTGGCAATATTAGTCCATTTGCAGCTTATGGCAACAACACAGATGTTCCTTTTGTATACAGGCCAGCTTACATTACATGTTCAGGCCCTATGGCTAAATGACCCAAGCTGATCAAATGAGTGCAGGTAAGCAGAGAGAGAGGAAGAATCAAATACTTCAAAGTGTTTGTTAAAACATATCCTTCCATGTAGAAAATAAGAAGCCAGGATAAAAGCTAACCTAGAATCCTTCTCATTAATGTGCAGAGAGGTGCTACTGCTGTTGTTTTTAAATGAAGGATCTCCTGTTTGTAATCTAAAGTGGCACAGCCCAGAGATGGAGCCACATCAAACAGGAGTGCCAGGAGTGGGCATACAGAATGAGCACCTCTGTCGATTGCACAGAGGTTGCGCTGTGAATTAAAATACATCTGTCCAATGGATTTAATATGCATTTTTTACAATAAAAGAAAGCATTCAAATAATATATATTGATAATTTATTAGGTGAAAAAAATGTAGTGGCTCAGCCCACACTGCTTTCTTTCAGGCCACATGCTTTAGCAGATTCATCTCGATATCTAAAGATAATTTTAGGGATGCCGAAAGAATTCCCCATTATTTTCTTGCCAAACTTACAACCATTAGAGAAAGATTATGGCCACAGTAAAATTAAAGGATGCAGACATGTCAGGAATCAATTCTTATTACACTCCACTAGGAAGAATTAGCTACTACACAGTGACCACTTCCTAATGGAAAAATGGTTGTCATAAGGGATCGATGCAGCTGGTGAAAATGGTAAGAATAAAGCAATGAAGATACTACTTTAAAGGCTAGCACTGCTCATCAGAGATCCAAAATTACATGGGATGCTTTCCAAATTTAACCAAAATGGCATTACCATTAAAGAACATGGATTCAAAAGACACCCCATATCTTAAACCATCAAACAGATGTTATTAGTAGCATAACACAACTTTCCCCACTGCCGCAGCTAGCAAAACATTCCAACATGCTATTCCTAATCTGTAATCTGAATTGTATGGTTTCCAAGAATTGCTTGCCACTTTATGTATTTCCATAAAAAATGCAAGATATTCAGGGATGGTTGTTTCTCCTTTCTGTACAGTAACTTCATATACACATCATCTTTCATATACACTCATATGCACTCAATGTAGCCTATATTTCGACTGATCAAAAGCAATTCTAACTTGTCTAGATTAAGTTTCAATTTGTTTTTCCCCATCTAGCCTATTAACAATACTTGAAAGTGGAAACATTTTTTCTCTGAGAACAGTGGAAAGGACCAATAAAGCTCCATATCATCGGCACACAGGTGGCAGTGAACTTCTAACCTCTAAACAACTGCTCCTTGTGCAGATGTTGAGGAATCCCCTGGGGGAAAGAACTAACAGGCCAAAACGCAGTCTTTGTCAGGCCTGGTCCTTTTATTAAAATGAGATTGCTGCATGAGGAATAAATAAATGAGCAAATTGTAAGTTATCAACTCTAATATTATATCATTTTCCACCAGGAGAAAGAAAAATTCCATTGAATTTTCTTCCTCATGTGTCAGAACAATCTGGGGGGGGGCTCCCCAACCTTTCTCTATTCTCCCTCCCCACAAAGGGCAATCTTCATTATGCTCCTATGAGTTTACCAGGCTATATGGCCATGTTGCAGAAGAATTCTCTTCTGATGTTTTGTCCACACCTGGCCCTGGAATTCCCCAGGAAACAATCAGGGCCAGCTAACACCTCCAACAAAGGATTCCCCTAGGCAGGAAGCAGCCAGGCTTTGAAGCTGCAAGGCCATTCAATGCTAATCAAGCTGGCCAAATGCAACATTCACACTTGCCTCAAATATACAGGTGTTCTTTCTCCAACTCTGGACATTCCACAGATATATAAACCCCACTTGCCTAGTTTTCCAACAGACCTCACAACCTCTGAGGATGCTTGCCATAGATGTGGATGAAACGCCAGAAAAGAATGCTTCTGGAACATGGCCAGACAGCCTGGAAAACTCACAGCAACCCAGTGATTCTGGCCATGAAAGCCTTCGACAACACAATCTTCACTATATCAGTAGCCTCCCAATTGCTACCCCCTCAAAAAAAAATCTGATGAAAAGGGTTCAGCCCTTGGAAATGGCTTTTGAGGTTACAGGCTGCTTTATATATTCTGTCCTAACCACACACAAAAATATTTTTTCTAACAATCATTCCTTGAGAACAATGTAATGGTTTGCTATGAAGGTTGTAGGTTATAACTTTTCCATATATTTTTTTAAAAAAATCTCACTTTCTACCCAATAAAATTTTCAAAGCAGCCTAACATAAATACAAAGAAAACCAATCAACTAAACAAAGTCCAGCAACTAGAGATGAATAAAGTCTAGAAAGATAAAAGTTCCAAATGCCCTGTGAAACAATGTGAACTCAACCTACCACCAAGGAAGCCACGGCAGCCATCCTTGGAAATCAATGATGTGAGCTCAACATCGGAGTCAGTTGCCTGGTGTAGCATGCTCCATTTCATTTCCCTGCTGCTATATTCTGAACTATATGTAGTTTCTGGGTGTATTTCAAAAAGTACCTTAATACAAAGTATATCACAGTAGTCTACCTTACCAAGATGTGAATGATGGTGACCTGATTTCTTTCTTTTCAGGAGAGACCACAGCTAGCATGTCAATCAAACTAGTCAAACGGTGCATGGTCATTGCCACCACCTGAGCACTTAAAGAGAATCCCTCAACTGGTAAAGAGAGAGGAAATATAAGCCCACCTAGAACATAACTGCATGTCTCCTCCAAAAGCAGCTAATTTTCCAATCACTGACTTATCTGTGTTCTATGAATGAAGTATTATTTAATTCACCTCTGTACAATCCATCACTAATTTCAATGCTCATTCAGCTCACCTCTCAAAACAGTATCTGATCAAATCGTTAAATAAATGGCATCAACATATTAATAATATGCAATACCAAACCTCTATACCAACTGTGGTATCCAAACCATGTTCTGAAATATGTCTCCCACGAAGGATCGGAACCAGCAAAAACAGAACACCTCCAGCCACAACTTGTCAAACTGGTTCAGAAAGATACCATGGCCAATTGTACTGATTATCTCCAGAAGAATCAGAAGACCCATATTTATCTTAACCAAGAGGCATCTGCCAAGGGACCCAAAATGGTCACAAGCGAGGGACAGGCTGGGAAAGCAACTCATTATTTTAAATTATCAGTCATCTGTTAAATCATAGAGTTGTGGGAACTACTATATGCAAACACATTATACGTCGACACTGCAGCAACCGTTTCCTCTCTTCAAGGAGAGATTTCACCTCCTCTGTCACTTAATGATAGACCTCACTTCTTTGAGGCACTCAGATTATATTCTCAGGCTGCAGACACTGAAAAGCTTCCAAACAAATGTGACAAGTGCAGACTGCAGGAACATTTGTGATTAAAGTGGAGTCCATGTCAAAATGCAGGCAATCTTATCTTGACCGTCATGATCACAGAAGACTATTAAGGTTATTCATTGATTACCAAAAAAAAAGGTTCCCTGGCACTTGGGAGAAGCTCCACTACCCAATACTACAGAATCTCTAAAAGTATTTTTCAAGATGACTGATGAAAGGCAAGGAGAGTGCACTACTCATTGCAAGTCCATCTTTACAAGCTGTCCCGTATTTATTTAAAACATTTATACCCCGTCCTCCTCAGCCTCCTCAGAGGGACTCAAAACAGCTTCCCAACAGGCAACAATTAGATGCCAAACATAATATAAAACACGTAATAAATACATCCACAAAATTAAAATATTTCTAAATATGCATTAAGAACTCATAATTACACAATAGGTCTATTAAATATCTGCACTGGGTACATCTCTTAAATATCTGCTCTGGGTACACCTGCACTGTCAAATTAATGCAGTTTAACTCCACTTAACCTGAGTAGGGTTGAACTAGTAAAAGATGCCAAGTTCAGGGTCACTCCACTAGATTCCTTCTTTTCTTTTCCATTCCATCTGGTTACTCTAAGATTTACCTCATAACTTTTCAGAACTTGTGCCAGGTCCCTTATTTTCTTCTTCCTCCCTTATCTCTTTTCCTACTCTGTCGTGTCTTTCAGATTATAAGCCTGAAGGAAGGGGCTGTCTTGTGTTTATTGATCTATATAAGCTGCTTTGGGAAGCTTTTCCATTGAAGAGCAGGACAAAAATGCCTCAGACAAATATAAGAGAAACTAGCTTAGATCATGTTTCACTGCTAAAAGATGCAGAACTTCCCAAACCAACTACTGTTGTATTTTAAAAAAATACCTTTTTAACAGAATGCTGGTGTATTTCTGGCATATGTCTGCCATTGTAACATATGCTGTCATATTCCAACTGCTGGCACTACTCTGCATGATGGAAAAAAACTGAAAGATGAGAAGGATGCATAAGGAGAAATAGTTTCAAGGAGTCTTGTGGGTTCTCTGCAAATACCTACTAGAGGTTTCTATGCTGTCTGTGGGATTGCATGCTGGATAGTCACACTCAATATTTGCAGTATGGAGGTAATACACCAAAATTAAAAGCCCTGTACATGTGCCTTAGTAAACTCTGTTCTTTACCTATTGCTTCTGTCGCCTCCTTCCTGTATTTGTGGGATAATATGTTGTGGGTCAGCTAACTGAAAGAAATAACAACACGAGGGATGTTCACCTACTGTGCATGACTTTCAACACACAAAACACCCTCGTAGCATTCCATGATTTGTTCCACTAACTGAGTGAACATTTTGGAAATAAAATGCTGCCATCTCTATGCCACTTGGTCCTTTGAAGTGTTGATGCTGACACCTGAAACATTTGGTATTTTGTGGCATTCCTCTACTAGATTACTTGATAATAATCTAAGTCTACATCCAAGGAACTGAAAAATGGTCATGAGCAACATCAGTGTTCTTCAGCACAAGATTTTCTTACCTCGAAGATGTTTGATGATTCATTGGCGTACTGATTGGAAATTATTTCTGATTGGTCACTGTACCATTTGAGTCCACCCAAAAAACTGTCAGCATCCAAGTCATTCACGTCTAACTCAGAGAGGTCAAGTTCTGGAAGATCTGGGCAAAGAGGCTGGTCTTCACCAACCAGGGCAGCACACTGAAAAAAGGGGGGGGGGCAGGGGTTGGAAAGTGAGAGAAGGAAAACCAACACTTTCATTAATTAGAGGAAACTGAGAACAGCATCAGCACATGACACAAATTATATTTCAGTTAACTCACTTACACTATCCAGTAGGTCACAGGCGTTAACTTCATTTTGAGGAACAAAATGCTGACTTAAATCAAGACACTTGACACATGTGAGCAACAGAGCATGTATTCATGTGCATTGTTTGCATGCTGACCCGACAGAAGAAAGAAAGAAAAAACACTCCCTCCTATGTTGGGAACAGTCAATTTTTAAAAAATTCGAACAACTTCACATTCCTGGAATGCACATTAGTCTTTTAAAAGTGTTGAGGGTAAGCCACTGCTTCTATTATTCCCAAAAGATAGAACTAGACATTTATAAAGAATATACATAGCATTGTAGCAAGCAATAAATGGTAACTCTCCCTCAGATAACATCTAGGGATTGTTATTTGTTTTTAAAGTATTAAACTGCCCTCTATCCATGTCTACTCAGAATGAAGCATTACTGAATTCAATGGATGTTTAATGCATTTCAGTCCAACTCCTTTTTCTGTTTGCTCGAGACAAAAGACAGTAGTCTAACTCCTCCTAGCCCTTTTCTACCAACAGACTGGCAGCACACAGGACATGAGATTCACCTGAGGGAATGGCAAGGGGCCCGGCACTGTTCCCTAGCTACCTCTCCTCCACAAAATATGCCATCTAAGGCAGTCACCTCACTCTGCATGTGGGAGAGCCTCCTCCTCTGGAGGTTTTTGAACACAGGCTGGATGGCCATTTGTCAGAAGTGCCTTGATTGTGCATTCTTGCATGGCAGAATGGGGTTGGACTCTTCCAGCTCTATGAAGTGACAAGAAGGAGATCATGTAACGTTCTGCCTTTAAACACAAACACAACAAGTAATAACAGGAGAGAGGGCAGATAAATGATAATCAGGGGTTACTCTTTTCAAGCAGTTGGAGTGGCCCTTATCTTAAAAAAAACCAGAAAAATCAGTAGGGGATTCAGCAACATGAAATTGTACATTTCTGTTGGCCTCACACACATCATCCCCCTTTACAATCACCTGTTGAACAGGTACAAAATTATTAGCCATAATACAGCTTTGAGTAAGCTACAACAGCAAAACTATACCACCCTCATAATAAGCAGATTGTGAAATATTTCTCATGGCACAAGAAAGCTGAGCAGCTGCCAAGTAATGACCAAATATCTATAAATGTCACATTCCATTTATGGAGTCTTCCAATCTATACAAGCCTCACTTTGAGGCCATGAGCACTAGCTCTGAACAGCAAGATGCCAGCCAATAGAAAACTGGTCTTGGGCCAAAACTACAAGGGCCACTAATTGGTTTTTCATACCTTAACCCCTCCTATGGCTCAGAATGAGGAAGACACATTTGCATCTTCCCCACACCTTGGAAGATATGTCACACAGGTAGGGAACTGAGACAAAAGATGGGCAGCAAGGCTGCCTTCTAGGTTTGGGTGATGGGAGTGCAACTTTGCTCTACATAGCTGTAGCTATGCAAGCATGAAAACATCTTTCTTCTCTACTCTGTGCACTTCTTGCTCTTCTGGATCAACACCTGTTGCAGATGGCTAGATATGTTCTTTCCCTCTGGGACATACAGTTTCTTCACACTTAAGAGAAGCAAATATGGGAATAAGAACATGCAAATAGAGGTGCTGCTTAGCAAGGGCAGTGGTTGCATCTAATATGAATACTCCTAAGACACTAATTATGAAATAAATGCAGTATATTTTTCTGTAGTTCAATCACAAATGTCTCCAAACATAGGCCATCAAGGTTGCTGTTAATTTTTGCTCCTGCCACAAATCTGAAATGGCACTTTGAGTACAAAAAACTGACCCAGTCCTAGGCAATTTACCAGTATTTGTTTTACTGTCAACAGATATATTTGGGTTCATTGGGTTTTTTTTTTTTTAAAAAAAAACATCCTTATGACTATTACAATCACAAGCAGCCATTATGCAAGCTAACTAACCCTAGCAAACACTGAGAATCTAAGAACCATGATAACAGTGCTTGGGAATAGCAGAATTATATCCCGGGCACATGTAATCTTGTCTCACATATTACCTGAAGGATAGTTAGATTGTCATCTTTTTACTATTGCCCCTACAGCACTCCCACTGATGCATGCATCTCAGACTATAAATACCTGATGGTATTATTATTAACTGTACCTATATAATTGTGGGAAGAGGGCTGCACCTGTCATGGTATGTGAAATTACTCTCTGTGGATAAAGGTTAGTGAACTGGGAGAAACCATGTGATAGCAGTAATAACACTCCTCAAGTAACTTATAGTTAGCCTGTGAGCTGCAACATGCCAAGTTTCCAAAGGACTTAGCCAACAGTTTTATTTGAAAGCATGAGCTATCAAAGAATGTCCTTGTTTTTTGTGTGTGTGTGTGTGTTTTCTCCAGTAAAGTTGGCCAAGTTATAAGTTTCACTATCTTCCATGTTGGATTTTTATTTTATATTCTAAATACAAATCAATTTCAAACTGGAATGGAAGCCTCAGTCACCCTTAGTTTCCAGGCACAATAGTTGGGAAAGACTTCTCCATTAGACCTTGGAGTGTGACCAAAAACAGATCACAAGAAAACAGAGGTATCCGTGGTATTTCCAGACTGGGCACCTTCCAGCTTTGTTGGAACACATCTCCCCTCATCCCTAGCCAGCATAGATATGTTGTTTGGGAAGAATAGGAGTTGCATTCCCAACATATCAAGAAGTATTGGCTAGTTATTTCCTATGAAATTAATTATCACCTAGAAAAATATGACATTAGATCTAAATTTGCATAACAGCTTGAGAGCATTTGATAGGATTTTACTGTTTATTTCCTATGATTTTCATTCTGATCTGAAAGCATTTTGCAAATCTTTAGTTCTTACAATCCAGAAAAGCAAACCTTGCAGTGATGACAGAAACAGATCTATAGGACACTTCACTAATACCTTTATACAGTGACAACTGAATACAGTAGGATATATAGTTCTAGGATGGTAGTTGGTAAGGTTACTGTATAAACTAACCTCCTCTTAAAGCAGGTGAAAGGAATTCATATCACTGTGTCTAGAATATTTGTATGCATTGGACTGCCAACAAATCAACAAAAAAGTCAATGCTACTTCTCTTACACTTGTCAGCATCACTGACTTCAAGTGTCAAGTATGCTGAAGAGGCATGTCTTCTTATTTTTGTATCCAAAAGTCTGTAGCAATCAAGACCTGGTATCACAGGGTTGGGAAGGTGAGGCTGACGCTAAAAACTTCTAGAATTTCTTTTTTTTTTTCATCACAAACACAGATTTTGCCAGAATTAAGCATGGTGAAATCCCTTTTAACAGGCCAGAATTGCGAATATCTTCACCTTCCATCTGAAATTGTGGGGACTATAACATACTTAACTCTGGAAGCACTGTGTTGGGAAAGAGATTGGGGGAGGGTGTGTATTTAGCAATACGGCATTTTCCTGAATATTTTCAGTTTCAGGCTTCTCCCCCCCCCCCCCTCGTTTGGCCATCTGGAAGTTTCCTACATTGCCAACCATTTGAATCTGAACATGCTACAGGAGAGACAGCTAGCATAGCAATTATATGGTTAAAAGCAAGATGACAACATTGATCACTTCAGAAGAGAAGTTTCCAAACTGTTACCTTCATTTATATGTGCAAAAATGTGGCAGTCAAGGCAAAGGAAAGAAAAAAGGGGGAAACACAACAAGGTTTCAGATGCTAGGGGCTGCCAATCACATGCAAAAGTGACACGGTTCCCTTGATTTATAATCTCACTTGTTTTTTGCCTTAAACAAAGTCAACTGAGGTGAGTGCATCAGTAACCCCAGAGCACCCCACCTCCACTGCAAATGCATTCATTTCCTCTATGTCTGTCATGTCAAACTTCAACAGTAAATACAGGTTACCTACTCAAGTTGGACTTGAGTAAAATAAACTTCCTAGAAACATTTGACAGACAATTCCAGTACGAAAGAATCTAGACCTGCATATTCTGTGCCTGACAACCTAATCGCACAGAATGCTTTGGAATAAAGAAAAAGGGTCAATAGACTCGGGGCAAGCGGAAAAGACTGCAATTTACCATTTTCTCTCTCCCTGGCCAAGCAGGACAATGCAGGCAATCAGAGAAGAGGAAGAGAAACTTAAGGGTTGGAAGGTGAATCTCTGACATATCAATTCCTTTCCTCCTATTCTTTGAAAAAGTACAGGGCTGTAACAGTGCTGGGCCAATCTGAGGCAAAAGTACACATGTACATATGAAGTATATTGTGCTTAAAGGAAGAGCAGATTGAAAATACAAAGGTAACTTCAAAGCAAAAGCGGTAATAAAACTACCTTTAAAACTACAATTATTCCCCACCCTCCTTCTTCCAATACTGAAGTTACCTTCCATTTGCAAATGTTCCAATGCAGAGATGACCTTTTTTTTCTTGATACACAAATGAAATCTGTGATCTCATTAAAGGATAATCTAGGTCTTTGCCTGAAAAGGTAGATTCTCAGCATTGTTCTCCTGGTTGTGTTGTGGAGGTCAGTGGCTTTAAACTGATGCCATGGACTTCCAAAGTATCCTGCTGTTCGCTTTACTACTTTTCATTTGTAAAAATAGATTCTCTCTCTCTGCAGTGCCTAGTTAAGCTGGCTGAGTTCTCTCAATAAGTGCACTTTTAGAAAAAGGCCTGCAGTGGCCATTTTTGAGCAACCTAAGGGATCACTGTGGTATGGGAAGGGGATTCTGCGTTCACAATCTTCATTTGTTTATAATTTCGGTGCCACTTCTTTTAAAAAAATCAAATAACTGAAGTGAAGTATGTCCACTCTTGCCAATGTTGACATGATAATAAAATCAATATTTCTTGATATGGCACTACGCTTCTAATCTGGGACACCTTAGTAGCAAGTGTTCCTGTTGTTAATTTATATTTGGCCTTTGAGCAATGCCAGGTTTAACACTCTAAGACCTATAACTGTCCTCATCTGACTTGTAGCTATTTGGTATTTGCTTTCACATCTCTAACAGGTGCACCTTCCAATGCAATGTCACTTCTTCCTTTCTCTTTCTTTCTATTAGTCCATAGATTATGGTAGTTATTTTACAACTATACTCTTAATTTTATACTAATCTTTCAGCAGTATAAAACAGTCTCTACACACAAAAGTGTCATTTTAGCCCTAGATCATTCTCTCATCCACCCTTGCAGCACTTACTTAGAAAGCAAACAATAAATTAGCTTAACTGCAGCAATGATAATGAATCATCGTAATTAGGAATCATTCTCCATTAACCTTTTTTTGGGCGGGGGGGGGGGGGGYGTTGCTTGTGTGCTTTTGAAAGTAATTTTTAACAGCACAATTATTTGGGAAGTGGGGAAGAAATGATGCGTGCAATTTAACTGATATTAATTAAAACAATAATCTTAATTTAGCAAGCTTGTTTGGGGAAAAACACTGTTGGGGGAAGGGGAAAGGAGAGGGTGTATACTGAACACGGACAATATGCTTAAAACAAACACACACCATGTGGATCCTCTTTATCAGTCCATGCAGCTTCGTTGTGCATTACCTTCATTAAACAGAGAAACACTGTAGGATGTTGATCAGCTACGGTGATGTACAGGCCTTTATTAAGTTACATGCAATCTCACTGTTATAAATAAAGATGTACAAAGTATTTTATGTCAGAAGTAAAACGAAAGCTGCTCACTGCTACTGGATGCTGTGAAAGGACTTTAAGAACAGAAAACACAGATTTCCCCAGCGAATCAGGTCGGCCTCAAGGAGTGCAAAGCACATGTCACTTGGAAAAATGGCACTAAGAAGCTACCTGATTTGCCACACAATTCACAAAAAACCCTTTCCAAAGAATAAGCAGGAAGAGAGGGAGGAACGAAGAAATGCTTACTGGCATAAATTATATTTTCCTTACACTGGCTTGAAATTCCTGCAGGAACGCTGATGATTAAAATAGATCATCACCATTTCCACACACACTGGTTCCTCAAATAAGCTCCTAACAGCATTAGGAATAATGCATGATGGAAAAAACGAAGCCACGGCAGCTGAGACCCATGCAACAGAAACCAACGACAATCCACTGGATACTTCCAGCTACTCAGAAACAAATGAGGACTTCTGGAGCCAGTAAGTCACTCACTTATCATCTTGACTCATAATAGCTACAAGACATATGAATTATCCATATCTCATCCACTTTACCAAGAAGTCAAAACAAGGGATGAGCAATTACACTATGCAAACAGAAGTCAGCAGATGAGGTGCAAATATTTTAAACATGCTTTAAAAATAGTCTGCTCCTTGTCTTCTGCAATGAGAATCTAAAAATCTCTACAGAAAATGATAAATGCTTCAACTCAGGAATATGTCCCCGTTTCCTTGATATATTTTTTTAAGCAACGCACATGGAGGATCAATAGGAGTATTCGCCCTCTCTTGTTAAAGGGAGCATTTCAGGCTGTAAACCCTTGCTTGTTTGCTTGCTTGCAAGTAATCCTCACTAACGTAGTGGAATTTACCATTGAATAAAAGATGGACAAGACTGGCCTGCAAGAGCATCAATCCTCTAGGGTTGTGATAAAGGGACTGGGTGGGGGAGTTCCCCCAAGTTGTCAGAACTTTCAAACCCCACCATTTGAGATCCAGGGCTCTGTTTGGGCTTTGAGTTTTTTTTTCCCTGAGTGTAAATGTTGAGGCAGCCTCAAATCTTCCTTTCTCAGCACTCCAGGGATTCCTAAGGAGCTGCTTGTTTTCTTTCCCTGGCTATTCCACACACTCACTCACACACCCCTTATAAATTGTAGCCAGCAGAAGCTGCAGATTTGATGTATTGCCGTCTATTTTTACTCAAGGAGCGGTGGCAGAGAAAAAGAGATAGAGAGAGGGGAGGGGGTGGCATCAAAAAAGCAAGATTTTGCCCCAATCCAAGAGCCTGTTGTCTGAGTAGAGAGAAGAAAGAAAGAAGGAAAGAAGAAGAAGGAAGGAAGGACGGAAAAAAGGAAGGAAAGAAGGAAGAAAAGAAGGAAGGAAAGAAAGAAAAAAAAAGAAAAGAAGGAAGGAAGGAGAAAAGAAGGAAAGAGGAAGAAAGAGGAAGGAAGGAAAAGGAAAGAAGGAAAGAAAGAAAAAGAAAAAGGAAGGAAAGATGGAGGAGGAGGAAGAAGGAAAAAGAAAGGAAAGAGAAGGAAGGAAGGGAAGGAAAGAAAGAAAGAAAGAAAGAAAAAAAGGAAAGGAAAGAAGAAGAAAGAAAGAAAAAAAAGGAAGGGAAAGAAGAAGAAAGGAAGGAAAGAGAAGAGAAGGAAGGAAGGAAGAAAGAAAAAAAGGAAGGAGGAAAGGAAGGAAGAAAAAAAAGAAGAAAGGAAGGAAAAGGGAGAAGGAAGAAGCAAGGAAAGAAGGAAGAAAGGAAGAAGAAGGAAAAAGGAAGAAGGAGGAAGGAAAGAAAAAAGAAGGGGGAAGGAAGGGAGGAAGAAGGAAGGAAGGAAGGAAGGAAGGAAGGAAGAAAGAAAGAAAAAAAGAAAGAAAGAAAGAAAGAAAGAAAGGAAAGAAGGAAGGAAGGAAGGAAGGAAGAAAAGGAGGAAGGAAGGAAGGAAGGAAGGAAGGAAGGAAGGAAGGAAGGAAGGAAGGAAAGGGGCTAAACCCTTCCCCAATATCCTCATATTAAAAGCCCTATTGCATCCAACCCAGTCCCACTTCAAGCTTTCTGCACCTGAGAACTTCCTCCCCATCCACAACCATTGGGCATTTATTCAGACACAAGTTTTGACAGGCGACGAGAATCCCCGTCGCCTCAGTTCTCTTTCCTTCTCTCATATCAACACATCCACACTCCCTTCCCCAATTTCCTCACATGAAAGACCCCATTCCCACTCCATGCTCAGGTGCTCTATGCAAATGGGAAATCCCCCCTCCCCTCCCCTCCCCATCTACAGCCATTTAAGGACAAGTTGAGACAGGTGACAAGACCCCCCCCCCTCCCCTTTCTTCCCTTCCTTCCAATTCTCAGGCTGCCCACTTTCCTCCCAGTGCCTGGGCGCCTAAAGGTTGCACATGACTGAGGAGAGGGAGCCAGGGGCGCATAAAAATAGTTTCCAAGCGCAGGAGGAGATCCCGAGGGCAGGAGAGGAGCCAGGGCTGGCTGGGGAGTCCTCTCAAAATAGACAAGGCGGTGGGGGCCAACTTAGCGGGTTCAAGGAAGCAATGCAAACAAAAGCGGAGGGAAAACAGGCAAGGAAGGAAGGAAGGGAAGCAGGTGGGAAGGAGGAAGGGAAGGCGGGCGGGCTCACCTCGATGTCACTCCATACAGAGTCCTGGTTGCACATGTCCCACGCCATCCAGCTCTGGGAGGACGGCAGGGGAGCGGGCAAACTACAATCCACCGCCAGAGCGAGCGAGCAGAGAGCCGGCGCGAGCAGAGAAAGCCGCCTTCCCTTCCTTTCCCTTCCCTCCCTTCCGTCCTCGCGCGCAGCCGACCAGCCCCTCACTGGGAGAGTGAACCGAAGACACCTGTCTTACTACTGTTCCCCGTCACGTGACGAGGCTATTAAAAAGTAGGCTGGCCTGTCACTCACAACCCCCCTCCCGCCCTCCCGCCTCCCCCCGGCCGCGCGCCCCCTTCTTCTCCGTCTTCGATGCTCTGTGTGTGTTTGCCAGAGCGCGCGCTCAAGCCCTGTGACGTCACGCTCAGGGGCAGACCGGAGGCTGGCGCCAAGTCAAGGCAAACACGCGCGCAAAGGCAAACACAGGCAAGCAGGCAAGCGCGCAGGAGGCAGAGAGAGAGAAGAGCGCGCGCGCACGGAGGAGGCTCTCTCTCGCGCGCAGGGTCGGCTCGCCTCAACCCCGGGGCTCGCGCCACACCTCTGCAAGGCGGCTGAGCCATTGACGCACACACAACAACAACATCGACCAATATTTCAAAGCCTTGCTTTGGCCATTATTATTCGACGCCCCTCCAAGTCCAACTCCACAAATTCCCTTTGCTCAGGTGTTTCCTCAAAAGTGGTTTAAGAATGGGGAGAGGGGGAAAAAACTACCAGGGGAGCATTTGCCCAGTTAAAACTTGTGTGCTACCTGCGCCCATACCTTGGGAAGTCTGATGTAGCCACAGTAGTCCATGCTCTGGATAATCTGTACAATCCTGCAATGCGCTGTTCCTGGGGTTGCCTTTAAAGACTGTCCGGAAGCTTCAAATGGTCCAAAGAACGGCAGCCAGATTGCTAACAGCTCCACTGGCTGCCGATCCAGTTCCGAGCACAATTCAAAGTGCTGGTTTTGACCTACAAAACCCTTTACGGCTCCGGCCCAGCATACCTGTCCGAACGTATCTCCTTCTACGTCCCACCTCGGAGTTTAAGATCTTCTGGGGAGGCCCTGCTCTCGGCCCCACCTTTATCACAAGTGAGACTGGTGGGGACGAGGAACAGAGCCTTCTCGGTGGTGGCTCCTCGCCTGTGGAATGCACTCCCCGGAGAAATTAGGTCATCAACATCCCTCCTCTCTTTCAGAAGGAAGTTGAAGACCTGGATGTGGGACCAGGCCTTCGGGTAAGCTGGCAGACGGACAAAAGACAATGACGACCAGAGTAGGAAAGGACAGTGACGATGCTAGATGGATTATGGACTTATGAATTGGTGAACATTGACCACAAGATGATTTTATTGCTGCTATTGTATTGTTTTGGTTGTTTTAACTAGTTATAACTGTTGACGTTATATTGTAAATTGTATATTGTACTTTGTGAATTGTTGGGCATCGAATTGTACCTTTTGTAAGCCGCCCTGAGTACCCCCTAGGGGATTGAGAAGGGCGGGGTAGAAGCACCCCAAATAAATAAATAAAATAAATAAGTAGTGCTCAGGGAGCGTACAACTCCTCTGTTATGCCAGCTCCACTAGCTGCCAGTTTGCTACCGGGCACAATTCAAAGTGCTAGCTTTAGCCTATAAAGCCCTAAATGGTTCTGGTCCAACTTACCTGTCCAAACGCATCTCCCCTTATGAACCATTTAGGACCTGAAGATCATCTGGGGAGGCCCTGCTCTCATTACCGCCTTTGTCACAACTACATTTGGTAGAGACGAGAGACAAGTCCTTCTCGGTGGTGGCCCCTTGACTGTGGAACGCCCTCCCTATAGATATTAGATCGGCCACCTCCCTTTCAACATTCCAGAAAAAAGTCAAGACGTGGCTTTTTGAACAAGCATTTGCAAATGCAGAGTAACTGACAGGAAAATGGAACGACTAGACACTGAGTCCTGACAACGTTTTTAACAAGGAGACACTATATTTTATTGATTTGTTTAGTTTTTATTATATGATATGTTTTTAATTGTATTTATGACATGTTTGCTTGTAACCAGGGGGGGGGCTGGGGGGCTTCAGCCCCCCCCCCCGAAATTCTGATGGTGGCCCGCGAGAAGGCCTTACTGGTGCATTATTTAAACTGTTATGTTTATTCATATCATGATCTGATCACCATGCTCAATATATCCCATACGCATGGGGGTATTGGGGTAACGATACAAAAGGTTTGCTAGGGTAGACCCTCTTTCACTCAGACTCAGCCCCCCGAACAAACTCAGCCCCCCCCCAAACAAAATCCTGTCTATGGGCCTGTGACATTGCAAGCATTGAATTTTGCTCTGTTAACCACCTTGCGTCGCCTACAGGCTGAGAAAGGCGGTATACAAATAAATAAATAAATAAATAGTCTGAAATCCTCCTGGCATACCACCCTCCATTGTGTCTGCTCCACTGGCTGCCAGTCTGCTACTGAGCACAATTCAAAGTGCTGGCTTTAGCCTATAAAGCCCTAAACGGTTCCGGCCCAGCCTACCTGTCTGAACGGATCTCACTCTATGAACCATCTTGGAGATTAATATTGTCTGGGGAGGTCCTGCTCTCAGTCCCACCTTCTTTGCAAGTAGGGTTGGCGGGGACGAGAGACTGGGTCTTCTCAGTGGTGGCCCCTCGGTTATGGAATTCCCTCCCTAGTGATATCAGGATAGCCCCTTCCCTCTTAGTGTTTAGAAAGAGAGTCAAAACCTGGCTCTGGGAGCAGGCATTTGAAAAATAGAGCAGTGCAGGAATGTTAGTATGGAATATGTGCAAATTGACTACGGATTGGCTTTTAGACTATGACTCTGGATGACGCAATTCATTGAAATGTATTTTTATTATGCTTATTATATTTTAATGTTTAACTTATGCTTTAACCGATGTGGTATTTTTTAAGGCACTATGGAGGTGCGATTGTAAGCTGCCTTGAGTCCCCCTCGGGGTAGAGAGAAGTGGGATATAAATAAGGTAAATACATAAATCCCAAATGGTCCACATGAGTGGCTGAGAGAGTGATTCAGTGGGCACACATTTTTCTTCCTGCACAAATGGTATATGGAATTACCTCCAGTCAATGCAGATAAGGTGAAACATATATGAATTTTGCATTTTGGCTTGGGTCTCATCAGCATGTCTCATTATGTATGTGTATACAAATACAACTATTCCATAGTAATAATAATAACCATCATCATCATTATCCAAAGTACTTCAGATCTCATCAAGGCCGGTCGTGCACTGCCATAGAATGCATTATATGGGTCTATGCTGGTCATATAATGCAGCTCAAATCATCCTATACAAATAATATAATATGTTGTTGAAGGCTTTCATCGTCGGAATCACTTGGGTTGCTGTGAGTTTTCTGGGCTATATGGACCTCACAGTTTCTGAGGATGCCTGCCATTGATGTGGGTGAACCGTCAGGAGAGAATGCTTCTGGAACATGGCCAGACAGCCTGGAAAATTCATAGCAAGCCAATAATACAATAATAATACATCTTTATTTATATCCTGCTTTTCTCCCTGATGGGACCCAAAGCGGCTCACAACATAATACAATCGAAATCAAAGCACATTTAACACAAAATACAAGCCAAAAATCATATAAAGCATAATAACGTCCAGAAATAAGATACAAATAAATATTTAGCTTTAAAAACATATACAACCAGTTACACTTATTGTGGAGACTCCTCAATTAAATAGAATGTTTCACTGCCATTGATTCCAAATGCAAAGATTCCAAAATAAGATTATTAATATTACAAATCAAAAGTGTTTCGGGTCTCAAGTCTTTTGGATAAGGGATATTTATTTATTTTGGAGATTCCCATGCCACCTTTCTCCAGTATGGGCCCTGGAAGTTCACGTCATCTTTAAAATTAGACATAGTAACATAAAACCATTAACTAAAACAGATAATAAAAGTTGCTCCTTACCAACTTAAAAACCCTATTATAAACAATAAAAGTTAAAATCTGTAAAATTCCCCATATGAGCATCAAGTGCCTCATACCTCTCTTTTTCACATCCTCAAATTTGGATAGAAGGAATTTAGGTTCGTTTCCCCATGCTTTGGGATGCTTTTATTTGGACAGCAGACCTCAAAGAAAATATCTATTTTTGGCTTCATTTAAACACTATTGAGGTGCTAAACCAGGCATGGGCAAACTTTCTAACTTGGCGGCCACATGCTAGCACTTCCTGCTAAGAGGACTGGCTGTCCCATGATGGAAGAAAGGAAGGGAAGAAAGGCAAAAGAAAGGACAAAAGGGAGGAAGGGAAAGATAGAAGAAAGAAGAGAAAGGGAAGGAGGGAGGGAGGAAAGAAGGAAGGAAGGATGAAAGGGTGGAAGATAGTGAAGGAGGAAAGAAAAAGGAAAGGAAGGGAGGAAGAGAAGGGAAGGGAAGGGAAGGAAGGAAGAACAAAAGAATGAAAAGAAATGGAGAGAGGCAGAAAGAGGGAGGGAGGGAAGAGAAGGATGAAATGAGGGAAGGGAAAGATGGAAATAGAAAGAGGGAGATGAGGAAGGAAAGAAAGAAGGAAGGAAAGACAAAGGGAAGGAAGGAAGGGTGCAAGGGAAGGAGGAAGGAAAAAGAAGGAAGGGAAAGAGGGAAGGATGAAAGGATGGAAGGGAAGGAAGTTGGAAGAGAGGGAAGAAAGAGAGAAGGAAGGAAAGCCCAAAGGAAGGGAGGAAGGAGAAAGAGGGAGAGACGGAAGGAGAGTGGAAATATAGAAGGAACAATGAAAGGGTGGAAGGGAAGGAAGTAGCGAGGGAGAAAGAGGGAGGTAAGGAAGGAAGGGAGAGAGGGAAGAAGGAAGGAAAGAGAGAAAGAAGGAAAGATAGGATGGTGAGAGAGAGGAGGGCCTTAGAAAAGAGCCCAAGGGGCCACATCCGGCCCGAGGGCCTGGGTTTGACCATACCTATGCTAAACAATGCCAGATTTCAGTGCCTACAGTATTCCTCCCTATCCCTGAAAAAAAAAGTCTTTTGTGGCTAGAAGCAAGATTTATGCATAGATTTAGGGTGCTAAGTCTTTGCATAAATCTTGCACATCAAATGACCACTACTGGACTACCTTTCTGAATCAAACTAATTCATACTTAATGCAGGTGTATCTCAGGAAGCAAGTCCTAAATGTGTTTATTTGAAACCAAGCCTCAGAAGGTAGTCATCTTACTCTCAAGTAAGGCTTGAGAGCTCACAAGTAGACCATGCAGA